ATTTTGGAAAGAAGGAAAGATTCTTGCCTCAGTGATTCTTGGGATGACAGTTTGTTCAATGAAAATGGAAAGTTGAGCCAACACCAGGACAAGCCCAGGGAGAACTTTGTCACTATGTGATCCCTCCGTCAAATTTGGATCATGACTTAATGAGTTGTTTCTCCCAGAAAGCATCTGGAAGCGTTGATCAAGTGACCTGAAGAAGTCATGAAATCCTTCTTGAACCCAGTCAATTACCAAATCTCTCAGTTTAACTACTAGCCCTAAGTCGTCATCCTCAAGTAGATGGCGAAAGTCCTGGAATAAACAGTGTAAGAAACAGAAAACAATAACTGAAAATGAATGAACGTATATTATAAATTCTTGTCCAAAGAGAATGACATGTAAGAGATACAATTAGAAACAAACAAATAAACAGTGATGATGACAGCATAAACTTGAACTTGTTAGAAAAATACAAAGCATTTACTAAAACGCTAACAGCAAGCTTTCAGAAGAAGAAAATCATTTCAAGCACATCTAAATATAAACCATTCATGTGCATCCAAATAAAAGAGAAAGATTAAGAAAACATAAGAACTGGACCAGGCCTAAAAAACCACAGGTTATCAAGCCCTGGACTGTTTCTTCATGCATCATGCATGCAAAAAGAGTCTCTCTGCATCTCATGAATTACCAGTAATACATCCATGCTGCCTTGAAGCACTGCTTTTTTGCTTGCTTCCAGGGCAGCTTGCAATGAGTACTCTTCCACTTCATCTTTTGGTCTACTATTGACCTTCATAACAGCTTCTGCAACATGAGGGCCCAGACATGTAAGCCCATTTTAGTTGGATTAATGTAATTGAAGTCAGAAGCCATCAAATTGATAATATCAATGCATGTCTATGGTATATCTCTTACTGCTACTATCCTTTTCCTAAGGAACTCTCAACTTAACATGTAAATGAAAGCAGTAACAAAGCAGCTATGAGTGTCAATATTCATACGTGCCTCTATGTTATGGGCTGGGCTTTCTTGTAGATTTGTTATGCTTTGCATCCAAGGGATAGAGAATTGCTAGTGACTAGGAGTCCGAGTATGAGAACTCAGGAGAGGGTGTATATTTTGTTATGAAGAAAATTAGAGTTTTCTTGTCTCATTCTCATACTTTACCCTTTATTTATTATCCATGAATCTAATTCATCCCACTGTCACAAATCATGAAGATTGTTGCTTCTAGCAGTTACTGAAAATAACATTTAAACAGAAACAGGGTTTTTCTTTCTTGATCCATAGGTGACTGTTACCATCTGTTTTATGATGTAGTCCTATATCGATAAGGATTACAGTAGTCCTTTGAAATCAAATTGCAGAATTTAATAAAGTCAGCATCATTATTTTGCAAACGAATTCATTTCCTCAAATCCAGAAAATTACCATCTTAATTGCCAAGTTCAAAATGTTACTAGGATCTCTCTTAATGCTAGCAAAGCTATCTTAAAATGTGTGGACAGCATATACTTTAGAGCCTAGTAATTCATCAATTTAGTAATTGTCTTTCTGATTATGGTACTTTCCTAGTCACATTAAGATTAAGAAAAAGGGTGCATCTTACTGTAAAATGATTTCTTGTTAATTTAAAGCCTAACCAGATTCTTGACCACAGAAGGAATACCCTGAAACCCACTATGTCCTATTGTTGCTATTTTCAGGCATTTGAAGCTCCAAAAGGACAACAACAAATTTTGGGTGACAGCAACAATAGAAAGAACCTGATATATCTTGTAGAAGATGTGAAAACGTGCTGATGATATACTCTTTAACAGCGATCTGGGCAGCCTGAAACCATGTAGGGTTAGTCAATAGTCATTATACCATTTCCATCTATCAGCATGAATAGAAGTACATTTCAACTTATGAAAGGAGAAAGAATTTTAGAAGAGAATCTAGAGATCATAAAAGTAAAATACAATTAAAAAGAAATTAAGTAGAGATCATAAATGAGTATAAATACAAATGAAATTCAAAAGAGAAAGACAACCTCCAGAGAGAAGTCAGGAAGAACAGCCTCATGCAATACATCATCCATCAAAAGCACATCTCTCCATATAATTCCTGCATTCAAATGGCAATAACCATTTGAGAAAACAAATTTAAGTTTCAAAAGAAAAGGTCCAAATGCAAAATCCAAAAGAAATTCTATTCATCCTCTTTATCGAAGCTGGATATAGATGATTTCAAAAAGAACCCAAATTTAAAGGAAATAGATTGTATCCAGCAAATAGCAAGCAACCAAATGTTACTGGTGTCAAGCTCGAGCACCTATATGCTCATGAACTATTCTCACAGGTTGACGCAAATGCCCAACAAGTAAGAGGATTAAAAGGTGCTCTCAATATTTGCATTTAACAAGTCTATATGTGTAAGGTCAAATCATCCCTGAAAAGACATTAAACCACTTACAGCACAAGGTTTTTAAGATCTTTTTCCTTTTATAATTTCGCTAAGAAAAATTCCACTCTACGAAAATAAAAAATACAATCCAAAATATTTTCTGTTGTAAACCAGACAGGCATAAAAATTCATAGAGAGATCAGTCAGAGAGATACAAAAGAAACCATCATTTTTGGAAAGAACTGTAAGCATTCCAGTGAAAACATCAAGCCTACGGTCAATATCGAAAAAAGATAAATAGCTTATCTAAACCTACAAAAAGGCTTATGGGAGTTTCCATTTCTCTAGTAGCCAATTTGACAAACTATGTTGGGAGCTTTAGTTAACCAGTGAGAAGTTTATTGGTTGTTTGTAATTGTTGCCAAACTTTTGGCAGTCATACAAGATGGTTTTGACAATTTACAGCTAATCTCACACTGAGGAGAGATCTGCCAACTAATAAAGAGCAGTTGCAGAAACTACCAGCTTTTTGTCTACCTCATTAATTATGATCAATGCTTCATTCCTGAGCAGAGATAAAGGAGGAGATAATGGAATAAGCACATTTGGTTAGACTACTTACGAAGAACACTCAGCAGGTTGGCTGAAGAAGTTCGTTTCTTTACATGCTGTTCAGTTGTTTCCAAGTGCCTGAAAGTAAAAACCTGAATGATAAAATGCTACATAGAAAATAATTCAATGAACAAAAAGTGACTCTCATAACATTAGGACAACAAAAAATTTTGGTTAAGTTTACTTACTTTCTAATCAAGTCTTGAGCAAGTTTAATTAGTTGCATTTCTGAGTCTGGAAAAATTACTCGATAAGCACGAATAGCCTCTGCAAACTCACGGACAGAAGCCTGAATTTTGACAATTGAGGATAAAGTTGGTTTATTAGTCTGATATCCTATACTAGATGGTTTATTTTCCATCTTTTCTTGACCCATGTAATAAAAAACATAGAACAATAAGTACAAAACCATAGTCCAGTAGTTTAATGGATGGAGATAAATTAGGAAAAAAATACTACCCATAACAAAGATTTACTCACACAAACCCACAGAATATCTTAGCAGTTAGCATTTTTACTGTGCAACCATGACTTGAACAAATTCCTTTTGAGTTTTAGCAAAAAAGAAAAAATCCTTTACAAGAAAAAATTAATATAATAGAGAATATTTGATACAAAATCTCATGAAGATTTCTATGTAACTTAGGCACCTAGGGTCAGAATGTAGAAAGAAAATAACTACTTCAGCACCAAGCTGGGTCTTGCTCTTACTTTTTTCCTCATTGTAGGCAATAAATCCTAAAATAAGAAATAGAATGTTATAAATCCAGAGCAATATTTTTTACTTGATTAACTAGTCCTCATTTACACTTCATATTCCTATTTCCAAAACACTCGATGTTCTTATTGCCTTTTCAAGAAGTGTACCAATAACTAATTAAAAATAACAATTCTCAAGGTTCATATCAATTAGAGCCCTATAATTAACCAATAACTTATACTCCCATTTCCCTTTTGTGATTGATAACCTGAACCTAAGACTTGTCCAATCATGCCCCTTGAACTACCACAATGGGCACATAAAACCAAACCGGCAATATGAATAAGAATCTCTCCTCATCAACAGACATAAAAATTTAACCAAAAAACCTAAATCATAATGGTCAATGTGTTTTCAAACTTCAAAGACCAAATTCAGCAATAACCTTTGGTGCAAATAAATCTATTTCCAAATGCCCATTTTTACCCTACCAGCAAAACATAGAAAATGACAGAAAATGTTACTCCACGCTTGCTGACCTCATGAGCAGTAACAGGAACCGAGTCAGAATCTGCTCCCTGTTTAGAAGCGTCATTAGACTCCACTGAAACACTATCTAAATCCTCTGGCTTAAGCTGAACGTCTCCAAGAGATTGTTCTAACTTTTCCAGTAGTTTTGCTTTTAAGGTCTCCACCTGCCAGAGTACAGAAAATCATTATAGGCATGCACATAGATGGAACAAACAATAACAAGATCAAAACAACTTCAGAATGCTAGTTTAAAGAATAATCCAAATGTGAGCTTACTATATATGCAGAAAACACAGCAAACCAAGAATTTTAATAAAGAAAATGTTTGTGTACAAGAATTTTAATAAAGAAAATGTTTGTGTACAAGAATTTTAATAAAGAAAATGTTTGTGTACAAGAATTTTAATAAAGAAAGTGTGTGTGTCCAGCATACACATGCAAGATAATTTGATATTTATCCAGTTTAAAACCATATTGTAACCATCTAATATATCATATGTCTGGAAAATTAGAAGTTGTTCATCAAAGAAGAGAAATTGAGAATTAGAAGATGCAGTACAAACCGGAAAGTCCAATTGCTTCAGAAGAACTGCAGCTTCAGCTCTTGCTTGTATTGATTCAGAATCTGAGAATAGTTTCCCCTGGAATGGAAAATTCAAAAAATAAAATAAAATAAAATAAAATAAAAATAAAAATGAAAAAGAGAAAAGGCTTTGCATCAACAAAACATAAATAACAATTGATAAACTTCCATTTCTTTTGGTAAACAAATTTTAAGAGAAAAAGGAACTGCATAAGACAGGCATAGACCATACCTGCAAGTTTTTTACTACCATAGCAACTGCTTCTTCAGATGCTCTCTTACAATCCTGAAATGATGTATCCCCATATGCCTGGGACCAGGAATTAGAGAAATGTTAGAAATTTTGAAAACAGGAAATATCAAATACATTAAAACAAAATCATCACTTGATAATGAATTAGAAGTTGAGAGATGAGACAAGTAGACAATATAAACAAAGAAGACAAAGGAAGAAATGGGTAACCTTAAAGATTGGCATTGCTCCAGTGTAGAATCTAACTGCATCAGCATAGGATTCTGATTTGATGCATTTTCCAAGTCTTGCAGGTAGATCATAGATAAACTGCTCTTTACCATTGAAGAAAACTTTTGAGTAACTCACCATAGCCAAACATCAAAATTTAGGCAGAGAATGAGATTATGTCCATCCTCTCATAAATTTAACTGCATAACTTTAATCTATGGATATCATAATAACTCTTTTTCCTCTACTAGCATAACTTCGAGAAAAAAAAAAAAAAACAATAGACTTGCCACTAGCTTTACTAATTAATTACTATCTGATGCCGCAAGCCATTTAACATTCTTTTAGTTAACCTACAGGGCTGCCCTGACATTATGGACAATGAATAAGATCTGATAGTTCTTCCATACCTGAACTTTGCGCAGAAGATTCCGTGTTCGATGCAATTTCTCTATATGTTCCCTCTTTTCAAAAAGAGAAGTATTCACCCCATCACTTCTAGATTGCACTGACATTATCTACAATTTGTTACAAAGAGAATGCACTTATTATGACTATCTTATTCTACTCATTTTCAGTTGATGATAAATATTCTCATACACACCTTGTCAAGAAGCTGTTCCATATTTGTTTCCATGCCTACAATATTGCTTTTCATCCTGTTGAAAACAAAGCTTCACTATTGGGTTCCCAAAACATGTTAACACTTTTAACAAATGGCAGGAATGGGATATGAGATTTCCAGTATCCAAATCTTTGCAATGTTCTCTCGAACAAAAAATTACCATAAAAATAAACAGTTCATGATTAAGAAATCAAAATGTACCTTTTAATTGCATCTGTGGCACTGATAAACTTGTTGTAGTTTTCATAGACCAACATTTGCAAGTCAGTGTCCAGATTCTTAATCTCAGCCGCCATCTCAACGTGCCTCTGAAGAAGCCCTTCCAAATTCGACTTTTGTACCTGCATATTTCAACCCATGCATAGAGCTTCAAAACTCCAGATACTGAACCTTGTCTCCAAAAACAAGCAGCTGATTTATATCTTACATAAGGCATGTCTGAGCACCCATTACTTCATTTCAAAAGCAAATAAATAACTATAGCAATCCCACAACCCTATCTCCACTGAATTTCTAGCTTAAGCTCTTAATCAATTCCCAAGCTCCTAAATCTACTTTAATTCATCTTGAAATCATCCAATTCAATAGTAAACCTAACATAAAACCACAAAAATCAAATCTAAACCATCCCTCCAACATTCCAACACAATTCCGAAACACTATCTCTAAAATTTAGTCTAAAACACAATCAAACATCACCAGAGCTTCATATTATAGCAACATATGCATCATTTCCATCAAATTCTTATGCATGAGATTCATGGAAAGAGTTAGGAGGGCGTACAAGGAGGTTCATATACTGATCGGGATCAAAAGAAGCGGTGTTGATTGCATCCAGAGTGGCATACTTCGAAGAAGCGTCACTGGTCGTCGAAGGATCCGGCGAGTAGAAGCTGGATAGCAGATCTCTCATCCTCTTCGCCTTATCGTCCAATGGAACGTCATCCGTTCCCATTTTTCTCGATCTCAGCGTTTAGCTTCTTCTGCAAGATGATTTAGCTCTGCAAATCAAACAAAATGTTTTTGCAGCAGCTTGGATGGACAAAGGATTTGGATGTATCCAGGAGCTTTTACAGTAGGAAACTACTGAGATGGGCGTATGGTGAAACAGATATTTAAAACGACGACGTTCTCTCGGCATGTTTGGATTCGACCCAACAACTTGGACGCTCAATAAGTTCGGATCCTGCGGTTGAGTTGAGATATTGATGTTTGTCCGTTCGGACTGGAAAATTTTATCAGTCCGGACTGAAAAAGACAAATACTATTAATAAATCTCTTTTTTTTTTCCCCTCAATTAATAAATCCTCTTTCATTTTTACTTGGCATACAAGTCCAATTAGTTATAAATTTTTGTAAAAGGTACCCTCTTAATTTTAAACTTGGGTTTAAATTTCTCTCTAAATTTATATTTGTTCAAAAAAATAAAAATAAAAATAAATCCCCTTTCATCTATAATTTATAAAGTAATGTTGGTCTTTTTCAACAAATAGCTTGATAATTTGTTAAGGATATGTTTTCTCATTTAAATTTGTATTTAAAAAATATATTTTAAATGCATGTATTTAAATATCTGTATTATTAACATTGATTTAATTAATCTGGTAATAATTTTATTTTACTAAAAATAAAAAATCTAAAATTAGAATCGCATTATATGTGATGGAGTATATCAAGAATAAAAAAAAAAAAACTGTCAATACTTATATTTTCATATTTATTGTGTTCCTTAAAGACATTTTTACAAACACTTCTAAAACAATCCCTTTGCACCTCTCACTGGCAAGCACAAGCCAAGTGACAACTTTCATCCCAATTGCTAACAAACAGGAAGCAGAAAATCTATAGTGCAAAAATCCAACTTCGCCCACCAAAAATAAAGAACAAATATTAATTTCAAAAAAAAATTTTCTGATCAGCCAAATTATTTAGAGATGAAGGGTATTCCAAAGAAACCAACAAAACTTACTAAATATGATGAACCCATGGCAACGGCAGACCGTGTTCGAAAAGGAGACCAAAAGCCAAACTCTATTTTTGGGAGGAGATTTGCATATTTCAAGATAAATCAATATTCTCAAGAAGTTACCAATGATTTACTAGGTTGAAAATAATGATTTTAGTTTTATTTAAATAAAATTTTAAATTTAAAATTTATAAATAAAGATGTAAACGTTAGGAAAACTTTTATTTATAAAGTTTAAATTAACTCAACTTTAAATTACTCAAGATTTAATATACTTTTAAAATATGAAAGGATTTAGTAAAAAAAATAAAACATAAAAATTTAGGAAAATTCCTCCCAAGTATTTAGAGGGACATGAAAAAGAGATCTTCGGAGAGAACAATAGAGGATTGATGATAAAAATTTTTCTATCTTTTTGCTAGAGATTTCTAGAAATAGAAGAGGGTTTAAATTCATGGATTTAAATATATGAGTTTGGAAGAGTTTTTAAAATACACGAATGTAAAGTTACAAAATACATGAACTGAATTACATATATTTCAATTAAATTCAATTATATATTTAGTGAAACTTTTCAACCTTTTTTTATTTGTTCAATTCATACTTGGGTTAAAATCCGTTAGCTTTTTGTAATTAAATGAATCATTATTTTTTTTTTCTAAAATAAATCTCTATTCTTATTTTTAAATTGAATGAAATTAATTATTTTAAAATTTAATTAAAATAATTTAGTTAAAATTTAATAGATGACATAAACATACCTTATCATTTTGTCTTGTCCCTTTAATACCCAATAAGCTGTTTTTCATTTGACAATCTTAAACTTAGTTTTGTTGATTAAATGACATTTTCTTCACACGTAGTCAAATGAGTTTGGTTAATTCTTTCTTAATAGTTAACTTAATATTAAAAAAATACCATTTCATTAAAAAAAATACGCCCAAGATTGGTAAATTAACACTAACTTAATTAGTATTAAAGGAGAAATTTGGAATGATAACTTATAATTACATTATCTATTAACTTTTAATTAATTTATTCAAACAAAATGTCAGAAAAACCACACACCTAATTTTATAGATCGATAGGTTAATAATGTATGTTCTCAATCCATAAGTTAGGATCAATCTTATTCTCTTATCTCAAAATTATCCTTGCTTTAAAAAAAAAAAGTCAAAAAAACTAATTTGATTGAACGTAAAAATATAAGAAGAGATTTATCTATAAAATATATAAAAATTCATTTTAATAATTACTAAAATTAGAATTGGTATGCCACATCTCTTATACGGATTGAATCATGTCCCACATTCAATTGTTAAATATATATATATATAGGGTTAATTCAATTTTTAGTCTATTAACTATCACTTTGATTTCATTTTAATGTAGAAACTATATTTTAGTTCTAAGTGGTCTATTAACTTTCGGATTTATTTCAATTTCATTTACCTGGTTATCTTTGACGGAAAACTTAGTATTCTGTTAGAGAACAGTTAATCCTCTAACTATATTTATTTTGATCTTTTAGTCCTCAAATTTATATTTGCTGTAAAAACAGTTTTTATACTTAAAATTATTATTTCTATGCTCTGATACTAGATTTTTATTTGGGTTTTCAGAACTTAATTCAGACTACTACTAACTAATGAATAACTGATAATATTTTAAAAATAGAAACAATTAATGAAAATACCCTAAGAAGAATTAAAGAAATGAGAAAAACCTGAATAAAAATTCGGTATCAGAGCCTAGAAATAATAATTTTAAGTATAAAAATTGTTTTTACAGTAAATATAAATTTGAGGACTAAAAAATCAAAATAAATATAGTTAGAGGACTAACTGTTCTCTAAAAAGTTTTCCGTCAAAGATAACCAGGTAGATGAAATTGAAATGAATCTAAAAGTTAATAGACTACTTAAAAATAAAATATAGTTTTTAGACTAAAATGAAATCAAAGTAATAGTTAATAGACTAAAAATTGAATTAAGCCTATATATATATACCTTTTTCACCTTTTCCTTGAATGACCGAGCATTTTTTATAAGAAAACCTACATTTTTGGGAAGTCGATTCCAATTTTTCCTGGCACAGTAAAGATTTTTCTTTCATATTGTAATTTTGGTTCTGTATTTCCGAAAAAACGAAACCTCATTTTATTTGAGTGGGATTTCTTCTTACTCCTACTTGGGATTTTTGACCAAGTAAAAGGAATCCAGTGAAATTTGCTAAGATGCTTTCAAACAATCCTTATCTGGCTTGTACCCAAAAAACAAAAAATCCTTAGCTGGCGTCATTCTATACGCCAGCGGTTACACCGAAACGCACTCTAACCAAACGACAAAAATTGGAAATGAAAAACCTATATTATCCAACGAGTGAGGATATATAAATAAATTTTTTATATTATATTTTTATATAATTTTTATATATTATTAAATAATAACTATTGATACACTAAAATTT